CTGGTCTCAAACTTATGGACCTTTGGTCTCAGTCTCCTGAGTGTGATCCCAGCAGTATGCCACTGTGCCTTGTCCTGTGTGTGTGTGTGTGTGTGTGTGTGTGTGTGTGTGCCAGAGGTCAACCTTGAATGTCATTTCTCAGGTGACATCCACCTTGAGTTCTGATACAGTCTCTCACTGGCTTAGACTTCTCCAAGTAGGTTAGTCCAGGTGGCCAGAGAGCCCTGGGAATTGGTTTCCACCTCTCCAGCACTGGGATTACAAACCCAGGCACCATGCCCAGCTTCTTTTACATGGGTTCTGGGGATCAAACTTAGGTCCTAAGATTTTCGAGGCAAGCACTTTATATGATGGAGCTATCTCCCCAGACCCCGAGCCTGGCATTTAATCAAGGTTTAGAAATTGGTTAAACTATCTGTGTGGCGGCACTGAGATCTTATAAACAGGTCGCTTTACTGGGCTTTAAAAATTCCTCAACTTTCTGACATCAAACAGCACAATAACTGGCAAGATTTCCGGCTGAGTATGGAAACAGCCCGAGCCAGTGATCAGCGGAGCAGTATATCTCATAGCGTTTCCGAGCTGGAGGGACCCCCGTGGGTCTTAGCGATCATGCCAGTTTTCATTTTACAGAGGAGGAAATGTCACCCACAGGAATTTGTTCCCAGATTTACTGTGTTGGGGAGGGAGAGTGAAGAGAGAGATAGGGTATATATTTGTGTGGGTGGGGAAGAGGGAGGAAGAAAGGGAAGAAGGAACAAAGGAGGGGGCAGGGAAACGAAGCAGGAAGGAAAAAAGGAAGGAAAGAGAAGGGAGGGAAAGGAAGAAGGAAGAGGAACATTATTGTAAAAAACCTCTCTCTCTCTCTCTCTCTCTCTCTCTCTCTCTCTCTCTCTCTGTGTGTGTGTGTGTGTGTGTGTACCTGCACAGGGAGGTCAGGGGACAACCTCAGCTGTTTCTGAGACAGGGTCTCTCATAGGCCTACAGTAGATGGGCTGGCTGGCCAGTGAACTCCAGAAGTCTGCCTGCCTCCACTCCCTAGTTCAGGGATTATAAGAATGCCCTACCAGTCCTGGTGATATACATGGTTGTTGGGGGTGGGGCTCAGGTTTGCAGCTAGCACAGCACTTTCCTAGAGCAGTGATCTCCCCAGGCCCTACCTGCATTATTTTATACATTTAAGTAACTGATTTGTTTAGTTATATCAAAATGAGTTCTCTTAGGATCAGTTTTGTTTTTACTTAGCCTTGGGATTAAAAAAAAAAAAAAACAGCAGTCAAGGTCCAAATGGATTTTGAGAAATGCTCATTTGCTCTTGCTTTTGAATTTTGTACCAATTCAGCTCAAGACCTGGCCTTGGCCTCTTGCAAAAAAGCAAAGAATATTCTTTTAAAGCCTGTATTGTCACTCAGTGTGCTTCCCGAAGAAGTGGTGTTTTCATCTTTGCAGCTTTAGTGCAAGCATTTTGTTTCAGAAAGAAATCCTCCCGGATTAACCTGAGCTGTCCCGGAACAAACGGTGTGCTGGGTGGACTGGACCTTGGCCGACCAGCATCCAAGATGCAGAGGTGGAAGGCTTGGCTACTGCGCCTTCCTTATTGATTCAGAAGTGGGAAATGAGACCTGGCAGTTCAGAGTTGACAGAAGCTACTCGTCATTGGCTGGGATTGCATGCTCCGGAAGAATGAAGTCAGAGCAGAGTGGGTGAAGATTTCTCACTGGGCCTTTCTGTATTACAATCACATTGCGCCCAGCGTTGGTGGCGCACTCCTTTAATCCCAGCACTCCAGAGGCAGAGACAGGCGGATCTCTGTGAGTTCGAGGCCAGCCTGGTCTCCAGAGCAAGTGCCAGGATAGGCTCCAAGGCTACACAGAGAAACCCTGTCTCAAAAAACAAAACAAAACAAAATAAAAATACAATCACATCGTAGGGTTGGGGAGTTGTCCAAGCCTGAGGACTTGGGTTCATTTCCCAGAACTCAGGTGAAAATGTCAAGTGGGGAGCTATGTGCTTGTAATCCCAGCTCTGGGTAGACAGAGACCGGTGGATCCTAGAGCTCACTGGCCAGCCAGCTTAGCCTAATTAGTGAGCCCCAGAACAATGAGAGACTCTGTCAAAAAACAAAGTTGTGACTGACCAGATGGCTCAGTGGATAAAGTTGCTTTTGTCAAGCGTGACAACCTGAGTTCTTGCCCACTTCCCACATGGCAGAAGGAAAAAACTCTAAGTTGTCCTCTGACCTCCATGCATGACATGTGTGTGGTGGCACACACATCAAATAGATAAATTAATGAAAAACAAAAATCAGGCTGGATCAGGAATGACCTCTGAGAGTGACTTCTGACCTCCACATGTGCCTGTATGTGTGTGTCTATGTGTGTGTATACACACACACCCACACACCCACACACCCACACACACACCTAAGATATCACATGACAATTATGGCCCGGCCATGACCACTGTCATCTCTCATTGATGATATCTTAGATGCACACCTGTGAATTCTGTTTACCCATGTACAGTTGCATTACATGTTAATATCACTTAGATGCACATATCCCCACATGTACAAAGAGTATGGTATTGTATGCCAGACCTCATACACAGCCAACTCTTCCTCTTATGCTGGCTGGACTTGGGCTAATGTTGCTATGCCAGCCCACCAGCAGCCTTTGATGTCTTATATTCCAGCTTCCAGTGATCACACCGGATTTCAAAACCTGTCATTCAGGGGCTGGGGAGATGGTTCAGTTAGCAAAGCACTTGTTTCACAAACGTGAGTGTGACTTCTTAGAACCCACGTAAAAACCACCCATGGATGCATGTGTCTGTAACCTAGCTCTCCTATGCAGGATGCAAACCATAAGAGAAACTGTCTCAAACAAGGTGGAGGGCAAGTACCAATACCCAAGGCTGTCCTTGAACCTCTGCATGAATTCTGTGCCCACAGTCACACACACAAACACACATATATGCACACATATCATACATACAAACCCCCTAAAATGAACATATATACATTTTACCTATTTTATTTTATTTTGGTTTTTAAAACAGGGCTTCTCTGTGTAGCTTTGTAGACCAGGCTGGCCTCGAACTCACAGAGATCCTCCTGCCTCTGCCTCCCAAGTGCTGGGATTAAAGGTGTGTGCCACCACTGCCCAGCTACATTTCACCTATTTTATAAGTATATTATTAAAATTGTGCAGTAAATTTACAGGATGTTATAACCATACTCATGATCCAATTTTGTTTTCGTTTTGAAATCAGGACTCAAACCTAGGCAAAATGTTGTGGGAGACTTGTACACTGTGAAGATGTATTGTTGTGTTTGGTCTAATAAAGAGCTGAACATCCAATAGCTGGGCAGGAGAGAAAGGCCGGACTTCCTGGCAGAGAGAGGAAGAGGATAATCGAGGCTCTTGGGAGATGCCAACAAGACATGGAGGGAGTCAGACATACAGAATGAAGAAAAGGTAAAAAGCAAAGTGGTAGAATGTAGATTAACAAAAATATGGGTTAATTTAAGTTATAAGAGCTAGCGGGGAAAAAAAAAAAAAGAAACCAGGTGTTGGTGGTGCACACCTTTAATCCCAGCACTTGGGAGGCAGAGGCAGGCAGATTTCTGTGAGTTTGAGGCCAGCCTGGTCTACAGAGAGAGTTTCAGGACAGGCTCCAAAAAACCTGTCTCAAAAAAACAAAATAAAAAAAAGAGCTAGCAGGACAAGTCTAAGCTAAGGTTAAGCTTTCATAATTAATAAAAAGTCTCTGTGTTGTTATGTGGGAGCTGGTGGCCCAAAGAAGAGTCTGATTACAGCAAAGCTTATCGTTGATTTGTATCCATAAGCCTTTTTATGCTTTGTATCTTGAGCCAGGGTCTCACTAAGCTGTCCAGGCTGTCCTTTAACTCACTCTGTAGCTCTGGAAGGTCTTGAGCTTGTGGTCCTCCTGCCTGTGATTCCTGAGTGTCAGGAATGACAGATTTGCAACAGTCTAGGAAGATCCCTTTGCATATTTATATTCAACTCCTATGCTCATTCCCAACCTAAAAATCCACTTTCTGTTCCTAAAACAAACCTTTTTCTGGGTATTTCATATAAATGTAAACATCACACAGTCTGCCTTCACTAACATTGTGTTGTAGGTCCATCTGTTTTGTATTCATTACTGAGTGGAACACCATTGTGTAGATACACCACTTCAGTTGGTAGACAACTGGTTTGTTTTCACTTTCTGGCTATTATGTATAAAGCTGTGATAAACACACATGTATGAGTCTATATAAAACATTTTTCAACTCATTTCAACAATGCCTTAGTGTGAGATGGCTAGATTATATGCCCAGTATACGTTTAATGTCTTCACAACTGGCCACAGTGGCCAAACCATTTCCCACATTTGCAGCAGTCTCTGTGAGTTCCGGTTGCTCCATCCTCGTGTGAACATTTGGTGTCAGTCATTCTTAATTTTAGACAGTCTAGTGGGTGTGTGGTGATAACGCCTTGCTTAAATTTGCATTTCCTCAATGACTAAAGATGTTGAATGTCTTTTCAAGTGTTTATTAGCCATCTGTCCATTCTTATTTGCAAAGCAGCTGTTCAAATATCCTATTGCTTATTAACTGAGTTGTTAATTATTTACTTTTAATTAATTAATTATTTATTTGTGTGTGCGGGCACATGTGTGCATACCAGGATACATGTGGAGAAATCAGAGGACAACTTGCCGTAGTCTGTTCTCTGCTTCTCCCATGCGGGACCCAGAGATCAAACTCAGGTTGTCAAGTGTGGTGGCAGGCAAGTTCCGTAAACCACGAAGTCATCCAGCTAGTCCCAGTGTTGTTTATCTTCTTATGATTGAGTTTTGAGAATTCTTTATATATATTGGATGCACACACTTGAAGACTTGTAATTTTTTTTTTACTTTCCCACTTTTATTTATGACAAATATTCCTCCATGTCTTCTGGTCAAAGTTCTTTGAGACAATTCCATCAGCCTTAGTCAGTCGTACAATCGTCTGACTTGCCCATCCTGCTAATGACCCCGCAGATACCATAGGTTTTAAACCGACCATTAAACCGGTCCGTACACCTGTCAACCTCGGCCACATTCATCTGGATAGATGTGTGGTCCTTGGCGCCAATGATCCGGTTGCTCACGGAGCATTTCCGCGGCACGTACAGGTCCATGAACTCACCGGCATCGTTCTGCATGTCGAGACCGTGCCTGCTCTCTAGGCCAGCGAAGCGCAGAAAGGTGCAGACTTGTAATTTGCACCTGTTTTCTCCAAAATTGTGGCAGAACTCCTTCATAGTGTCTTTCAAATATAAATAATTCTTAATTCTTATTAAATCTTATGTACAACTGTTTAAAAATTGTGTTTTAACATGGTATCAAAAAATCTGTGAGGTCATAAGATATTCTTCCATTTTTAGATGTTTTGTGGTTTTAAGTTTTATATCGACAATACATTTTGATTACTTGTTTTATTAGCTATTTGTTTGTTTTGTTGTTGCAACAAAATTCCTGACAAGAAACGAGGGCTGGAGAGAAGGCTCAGCAGGTAAGGACACTTATTGTTCTACCAGAGGACCCAAGTTCAGTTTCCAGCACCTGTATGGGGTACTTCACAACACCTAGAACTCTAGCTCCAGGGGACCTGTCTCTAGTCTCCAAGGATACCTGCATTCTCTCTCTCTCTCTCTCTCTCTCTCTCTCTCTCTCTCACACACACACACACACACACAGGCTGATGTGCACATGTGCACATGTGTGCTCATGTGTACATATACACAGCAATTGAAAATATTAAAAATAAATTATTTTTAAAAATTGATGAAAGCAATTTAAGGGAGGGGAGGGCTTGTTTTGGGTCACAGTAGGAGGGGAGACAGAAAGTCATGGCGGGAATGGTATATCAGCAGAAGGGAGAGGCAGCTGGTCACATGGCATCCACAGTAAGGAAGCAGAGAGAGCTAAAAGCTGCTGCTCAGCTTGCTTTCTCCTTCTTATTCACCCAGGATCCTAGGAGAGGTGCCTGAGGTTTGTCATCTAGGTGAGTCTAGGTCCTGTCAGGTGACAATCAGTATTGGCCATTACACTTACTAATGTGATGTGAGAAATAGGTGACGTTCATTTTAAAATTATATTACATTTATTAATTTATTTATTTTGTGTATATGTGTGCGCATTGTGTCTTTTTCATGCAATGCCTGAAGAGACCAGAAGAGGGCATTGGATCCCTGCAGTTAGAGTTATAGACAGTTCTGAACCACTGTCAGGGTCCTGGGAGCTCCGTGCACAGCAGCAAGTGCTCATGACCACAAGGCCCTCTCTCTCAGCTCCGTTACAATCTTTTAAAGACCCCTCTCTTCTCCAAACTTTGTGAATTTATCAACAACCAATTGCTTACACATATGGTTTCTATAACTGGATGAGCTACTTATTCAACTGATCTGTTTGCCTATCTTCACTCCACAAGTTGATTTCTGTATCTTTAACATTAGGGCTGAAGTCAAACAGTGTCACCCCTCCAAATGTGTCCTTCCTTCTCAGTTCTTTGAATGTCTGTATGAATGTCAGGAGTAGATAGCCGGGCTTGCTGGGGGCAAGCCTATAATCTCAGCATGTGGGAGACAAAAGCCAGAGGATCATTGCTAGCCAGCGGGCAGGCTACATAGTGAGACTTTGTTTCAAAACACCCAAAACAGGGCCTGGGGTATGGAAAGCACTTTCCTGGCAAGCAGAAGACCTGGGTTCTATCCTCAGAATCAATGTTTTAAAAAATCCAGGCCTGGTCATGTGTGCTTGTAATTCCAGTCTGGGTAGGTGGAAACAGGTTGATCCCTGGGCTGGTTGGCCTACTAGGCAACCTCCAATCCAATCCTCTCTCTCTCCCTAAAAAGAAAGTGGCATCTAAGCAACAATACTCAAGGTGAACCTCTGGACTGGACACACACACACACACACACACACACACACACACACACACACACACAAACACAGTATGAGACAGAGAAATAACTAACAATGAAAAGTAGCTTATTGATACATATAAACTACTTTGTTGAAGTTTCGATTGGGATTACATTGAATCCATCAGTCATTTTGACTGAGCTGGCATCCTAACAACACTGAATCTTCCAACTCAAACATATTGGATTTGATAACTATATTTCTAAATATATCATTTTTTGAGTTAAAACAGGGGGCTGGAAAAAGGCTCAGGCTTTAAGAGGAGCATGCACTGCTCTTGTAGAGGATGCAAGTTTGGCTCCCAGCACCTGTCTTGGATGGTTCATAACCTGAACCTTTGCTCCTGGGTATTTCACCCTTTCTTCTGGCCTCCTTAGCTCCCACACTCCCACATATACACAACTAAAAATAAAATAAATCTAGTTAAGAGAAAATAATTCAGATAGGTCAGGCTGGCCTTGAACTTCTTCTTGCTCAGCATCACCAGTGTTGGGATAAAACATAATTCACATTTAAATGCTATCATAAATTTTAAAATCTCACTTTACATGGCTGGTATCATGTATGTGTTATTGGTCTTGAATCCAGACAGCATCTTAGACTCACTTATCAGTTCTGGTTGCTTCTTTTGTATGTCCTAGAGAACTTTCTCCATAGACAATTGCAATGCAGCCCATATAGTTATTTGTGGTGCTCACTGTTCATTTGCATAGATCAATATTGTCATCTGGCATATTTTTTCTTTGACTAAGTGAGTCTCTGTACACAGCCCTGTTTGTCATGGAGCTCACTATGTAGACCAGGCTGGCCTCAAACTCACAGAGATCTGCCTGCCTCTGTCTCCCAAGTCTCCCAAGTGCTTGGATTAAAAGGTTTGTTCCACTACGCCTGGCTGGCATATTTTTTTCTTAGGCCTGAAGATTTCCTTTAGTAGTTTCTTGTTGTGGGACTGCCAGTGATAAGTGTATTTTGGGGCATTTGCATGTCTTTATTTTGCTTTCATGGTTGAAAGATGTTTTCACTAAGTTACATAATTCCAGATTTATGTGTTTCCTTTCTGTAAAGCAGGAGCTATATATTCCTTTTCTTCTGGCTTCCACTTTTTCCAGCCAGAAGGCGGCTATGATTCCTGCCTTTTTTCTCTGTGTATAGTCTATCCCTTTTACTCTGCCCTCAGCTGCTTTTAAGAATTTTCTTTTTATCATTAGTTTTAAGGAATTTTCAGGTGGAAAGATGACTGGGCTGGTAAAGGGCTTGTCATGCAAGCATAAAGACCTGCACCTGGATCCCCAGAACCCACATAAAAGCTGGATGTAACAGTCCCTGTCTGTAACCCAGTGTCAGAGGGCATGGAGGATCCCTGGAGTGCATTGCCTTGCCAGTCCAGCCAAATCCCTGGTCTCAGCCTTTAGTGAGAGACTGTCAAAAAAGAGCAAATGAATAAGATACCCAACACTGACACTCACACACCTCCATGCATATGTAAATACAACAGACCCACACACACACCATCTGAAGAGGGTCTGAGGTTGTATCTCAGTAGGGAGAGTGCTTGTCTGTTATGCACAAAGTCTTAGGTTTAATCCCTAGTACCACATTAACCAGGCATGCTGAAGCACACTTATAAGCCCAGCAGTCAGGAGATGGAGGTAGGAGAATCAGAAGTTCAAGGACATCCTCGGGTACATTATGAGTCCAAGGTCAGCCTCTCAATGCATACATGCATAAACACATTATACACACATACAATAACATCCAAAGAACCAAGCAAGATAATAAGAAATTATTTGGTAATTATGCAGAATTCTTAAGCCACATTGGCCCATCTGAAAGATTGAATTGAATTTTATTTTATCCCTTGAAATTCTTAAGGAAGGGGCGTTCCCTTTACCAGGAATTCCTTGAGATCATTTCACTTCAGTTAACAGATGATTTAAGAGCAGAATCCATGTCCATGTGGATCTCCACATTTAATATTAGCTATGCCCAAGCATTAAGAAGTTCTGTTTTAACGGAAGCTTCCATAACAAGGACTGTGCTAAGCTTTTAGATCACTAAACCCCTTGACATGACCTCCAAGATCCTATTGCACAGCCAGAAGGTCATAAGCCAGATCCCCTGGTCTTTCCTCCAGGTGCTGGAAAAGATGTTCATTTCACTGGGCAGCTAGTCCTTCCCCCTTGTTCTGCCACTTACATCCTGGGTTTCTTTTGATTCCTTCCAGCAGTAATACACATTGTGAAATTGAGTTTCAGAATCATTTGTTTCCGACCCATCAACTCCGGTACCAAACACAGGGCAGGGGAGTGGGCTAGCTTTTGCCTAAGCGCTTTCTGTTTATAGGTTTGTCTAAATAGCCTTCTAAAGATATGTGCTTATCATGGTGAATGGGGACTCAACAAATTCCAGTGGGGTCACTTCTAATTTGAGCTAAGAGGGCAAACAAGTCTCTTGGCTGAGAGGGTCACAGGAGTAACTCTTGTTCAACCCAGGTCACCGAAAGGAGCCCCTATGTGCTGTCCATAACTCTAGAATGATGGCACGGGGGTAGGGGGTGGGGGTGCAGGACACACAAGCAACACCGGAGATTCAGCGCTTCCTTTTCTGCATCACATTCCAACAGCCTGCTCAAAGTAATGTGCGCACGTGTGTGTGTGTGTGTGTGTGTGTGTGTGTGTGTGTGTGTGTGTGTGTGTCTTGGGTGGATGCATCAGAGGATGCATTTTGAATTATGTAGAGAGAACGGCTGAGGTGGACTCCAGTGGGAGTCTTCACAGTGAGACATCCTGCTTTTGACTCCTTTTTCTGGAAAGACGCCCTTTAAAGTTCTCACCTCTCCCTCCCCCACTTTCCTACTTTAAAAAAAATTACTTATATTGGGTTTTAGGGGTATTTTTGTGTGTGTGTGTGTGTTCACACATGCGTGTATGTGTATGTCTATATATGTCTGTAGAGGCTTGAGGATGGGAGTCTTCCTTGATTACTCTCCATGTTATTCATTGAGGTGGGGTCAATGCGTTGAATCCAAAGCTTGCTAATGCAGGTTGATCTAGTTAGCCATCTTGTTCCAGGGGTTTTCCCATCTCTGCCTTCTAAGAGCTGGGATTACAGGGGAGCAGCCAAATCCACGCAAGTCAGTTCTGAGAACCTGAACTCTAGTCCTTAATGCTTGGGCAACAAACACTATCCAGTGAGCCATCTCTCCACAATCTGCTTGGGTTTTTTGTTTGTTTGTTTTGGTTTTTCAAGATAGGGTTTCACTGTAGCTGTGGAGCC